CAACCCTGGCCTGGCTCTTACGGGGGACAGAAAACACGATGACAGAGAGTTAAACAGCAGGGCTGTACTGGCATACAGCAGTGACGAGCGATGGGCAGTGTGGCTTGCAGGCTTGGTTTGATCCAGCAACTCAACTAAACATGCGTGCCATTCTGTTTCCGGCTTGGCATGATTCTGAAGCTTATGGTTTCCACTTTGCTTCTAACATCTCCTGTAACATTTATGGAAAGACACAGAAAATCGAGGGAAAGAGACTGATGGAGACAAAGGCAAACAGAGTCAAAGAGAAAGAGACACAAGAGCAAATGAGAGTGTTCTCAACCGCGGGACAAAATTCTCAGGCTTTTCTCTGATTGGCCCAGTTCAAGGTCCATGAGACAATCCCTGTGTTGATTGGCTTACACCTGAGCCAATCCCTACAGCCAAAGAAAAAATTTTTGTTACTTCCTTTTGTTTTTGAGACGGTCTCTCTGAAGCCCAGGCTGGCCTAGAACCCAGGTAGGCTGGGCTACACTATCTTCCTGTCTCAACCTCCAGAGTGCTAGTGCTGGGATTATTGGCATGCACCACCAAGCCCAGCTGGCCAAGAAATTAATATGTTGCTGACCTGGGACTCAGTGGGTTGATAGAGTCAATGCATTTTTCCATTTATGATTTTCATTTTGGGGTGGTACTTAGGCAGGTAGACCTTAAGCCGGCCTGAGCGACAATGGGGGAGGGGGGCTCCAGAATAGCATGGGTTGCCAGTTACAGTTATGTAAAAACTGGAGACTTCAGTGTATAATACATTTATAATCATTTGTTAGGTCTCAGACCCAAAGCATCCCCACAGAGTATGGTGACATCTACAGCCATAAACGCACGGTCCTGGTACCTGGCCACCTTGGTGTTGAGTTCCAGCACAAGGCACGCAGCCTTTACAGGCATGGCTACATACAGCCCAATATCAGGAAAGGAAATGTCCTTTAAAGACCCTCCCGCTGGACATGGTGGCGCTCGCCTGTGATCCCAGCCCTGGGGAACCTGAGGCAGGAGGATTGCTGCAAGTTCAAGGCTCACCTGGACTACATAGTGAGACCTTGTCTCAAAAAACAATAAATATGGCCGGGGATGTAGCTCAGCTGCACAGTGCCTGCCTGGCAAGCTCGAGGTCCTGAGTGAGATCCCTGGTGTGTGGGGGGGCTTATCTTTCCTAGGTTTCTTATAATATAAAACTCCTGAGGAAACACTGACCATCTAAAAATTACAAGTAAGTAACTTCCAAGTAAAGTGCCAGTAAGCATCATGACACCCCAATTCACTGAACCCCAGGAGCAACTTATTTTTTTGGTACCGGGGATCGAACTCAGGACCTTGGACTTTTGAAGCAGGCGCAGTGCCGCTGAGCTACATCCCGGCCCTTCCAGGAGTGACTTGTGTGCATAAAAAGGTATCCAGAGTCGCCCTCGGGACCCTGCATGCCATCTGTTTGCTTTACAATAAATTCTGCCTCTACTTCTATGTGGCTGTGTGTTGTGATTAAATTTCTTTCATTAAGGGCACAAAGAAACAAGGATGGAAGAAACGAGCCAGTTCCTCACTGCCCCAGGACTTGGCTTCACAGCCTGCTTTATGTTTTTTGGGTTTTTTCAC